TGTCTTTCTCTCCAAAATTTTTACTTTGTCATTAATTTGTTTTACATCTCCAGACAAGGGAAAGAGAAAAGGCAAGCTCCCCCCCCCCCCCTTTTTTTTAATGTCTTTTTGTGCCCTTAATATTTTCATTTCAAGTGGCACTCCATAGTTATAGTCAGCATCACAGTCTGGCTCATATTACTTTTATCTTTTGTTTTGTAAAATCCACCAATTGCCTTCACTCTTTGATAGTAAACAAAAATTATTCCCACAAAGTTCCAGTTTGTCTAATTTAATTCCGATTCGTTCAAAAGCACTTTCACCAAAAAATAATCTTTCAAAATAACTCTCCCCTTTATCTATTTTAAACTTCCTTACATCGACTCCTTGTTAAGCTTTTTGCCAAAAGTTTTTAAGTCTTTAAAACTTCTTTTTTTTAATTCCTTTGTAACCCAGAAAAAATAACAGTTCACCAAGTGGAATTTTTATCCCACCACTTAGAAAATCTCTCTTTAGCTGTAAATTAGTTACATCCGAAAGTGATTAAGAAAATGAGGCTTGTGCGAACTTTGTGTCCGTATAGGCTACATTATGGCTGTGAGCTTGGTTGAAATCCCTCAGCTCCCAGCCGCCCAACTCACAAGCTGACTACAAAAACCTTAGTTCCTGCAGCCTACTCATGAGGAGCAGCTATCCAGAGTGCAAGTGGGCGATCTCATAGTCTCTCCTTCTACTGGAGAGACTTTGCCAGCCAGAATTCGCTGTCTGACTGCTGATTTGACCACAGTGCCATCCCCACTCCTTCAGGGACGTCTAGTTTGCAATGAATCCACACCAGAAGCCCCAAAAGACAGAACCTTGATGATGCCCAATATCATTTGAGCCAGGAAGAGAATCTGGCCACTCCGGCCTTTGGGATCCATGCACGTTGCTCAACAATAGTCAACATTTATTTACAGTTATAATTTATGCTATTTTTAGAGCACTTGCATCAACTAGATTTGCATATAAATTAAAAGAGATGTACAGGTGCCACTTTCGCGGTCCTGGGCTAAAATGGAAAGCAAATAGGATAGGGCCTTTCTTCTTGAATTAATAAAAAATCTGCAGTTCTTTGGCTAGAACCAGAATAATTTCTGCCTTTACTTCCCAGCTATGAGACAACTTATATTTGGCAATTCTTTTTTTAATGAGGGAAGGGACAAGAATCAAATTGCTCTGCTGGTGTTTTTGTTGTTATGGAAGATATATGATGAGTCCTCTGCTAATAACTAGATGCACTTTTCCTCCTTACATAGAATAATGTAGGAATCTAGTCCTGAGGTATTAATGAACAAAGAGGTCAACTCAGAGGAATCCTCACATTGTTTGCATCAGGCCAGTAGCATCAGTTAGATAACCAATATGCAGGGGCCTATCTGAACTGCAAGAAAATGCAAATTGCTTCTGTTGTTAGACTAATATAAAAGGCAAAAGGGCAAAACCTTCCTTCCTTCCCCTCTCTTCCCTTCCCCTGCCTGCCTGCCTGCCTGCCTGCCTGCCTTCCCCTCTCTTCCCTTCTTTTTTTCCCTCCCTCCCTCCCTTTCCTTGGCAGAGGTATGTGGTTAAATTCAAAATTTGAAACAAGGCTGTGCACCAAGCATTACAGAACCTGTTGGCTCATGATATAAGTGACTTCTCTGAAACCATGTGACATACTCTCTTTTCTCCTTTTTTACACTCCCCTTTCCCTACAGAAAAAAGACTTTGCTGATCCCTTCAATGATGAAGAAAAGGAGAAGCACAAAGCAGAAGCCCTTACCAGGAAGTTTGAAGAGAAATATGTACGCTTCTCTGTCCCATCTACGTTCCAGTTAAATCTTGGTTCTAGTATTCTCCATAAAAGTTCTGTCAAAAATACAGCTACGTTTCATTCCAGGCTTCCTGTATTGGGAGTGTAAACTGAGTGGACCATGGTAGGTCCACTCTGTTTAACAATTTACTTTTGGGGACAGATTTCCAGTCTGGAATATTTTCCTATCAATATTTATTTAAAATCCATAGAGAAAATTGCCAGCTTGCACCAGTGGGCAATCTGAAGTTCCATTTTCTAAAAAGTTAGAGGGGCCTTTGCAAGCTTTCCTTGATTTTTATGAAACTTGCTTGATTGTCAGGTTTCACATCAGGCTCGTCAGTAAATCTTAACACTATCACATTCAGTAACTCGTTAACAGCTGAAGCTTCAGAGACACAGTATGGTTTAAATAATGCTTTTTCACAAACAAATATGTTTCTTATGCTCTCATGCACATACGCAGATGAAGAAGGTCCATTTATTGTAGAACACAGGAATCGAGCTACGAGTCTCTTGGTTTAAATCCAGATTTTAATTCTCTTTCAAATTAACTGACTTTTGCCTGTTCTTTTCCTGGCCTTAAGTGTCAAAGATACCATTCCCTGTTTATGTGCTGGTTCTGTTTGGCCTGAGAACTGTGGGTTCCTATTTTCCCAACTTCAATCCTTGCTGTGTCATGCGGTCCATGGTAATTCCAGAACATGCCAAGAAAGATGCTGCTTCTATGCAAGGAGTCAGTGGGCTTGTTTTTTTAGAAGCTAAAGAGAAATACAAGATATCCTTTAGCCACCTCATGTTTTAGAAAGTAAGCGCAACTTTCATCTTCCATCTCCATGGGTTTTTCTGTGGTGGACTAATACTAGCTGATGTTTATTTTGGCTAGTGTTCAAGATTTGTGATGATTGCGCTGTTGTGGAATCCAGTTCCACACATCAGGTCTCAGCGTCAGCAGGAGAGACTGGGATGATATGTCTGCGGAGGAAGCGTAGTCTTTCTTGCGAGTAATTCTGGCTCAACATCAGTCTTTCTCTTTTCAGGGTGGAAAGAAGCGCAGGAAAGACCGTTTTCAGGATTTGATTGACATGGGACAAGGCTATGATGAATCAGATTCTTTTATTGATAATTCTGAAGCAGTAAGTAGTAAATGCAAGTCTTTTTTTTCCCCCCAACTGTAAAGTTACAGGACAGGTAACAGAACCATCTAACATAGGAACAGTGGGTATTCTAGATAGCGCTTATATTTTAAAGCTGCAATTTTCCAGTTATAGAAGGTATAGTAATGGTTCAAGGATCACAGCTAGGTTACTTTGCTAGGTTGCACAAAAGCCACCAGAAGGCATTTGGGTTCATCCCTCATCGTGTAACATTTCCGTACTTTTAGCACTGCACTGATCTAAACAACTGCTTGTTTCCTGCCACAGATTAGAGAAGGCTTTTAGAATCTGTTTCTTTATTAGAATGTCATGATCTGATAACTGGAGCCACGATCAGAATTGTGGCTTAGGGCACAAACTAAAATTTGAAATTAAAGAACAACATGCCTTTATTCTTTGAGCGGTCATTCAGATGTGGGGCAGGAACAGGATAGAATTTACTGGTCTTTTACAACAAATCCAGATCTAGCTGTCCTCCAAGGTGTTTTCATCTCTGTAACCTAAATAAGAAAGTGTTATAATTTTGCTTCTACTGCTAAACAAGTGGGGCTTAAAATCTTCTCCTGATTTGCAACAGATCTCTCAGATTCATTAGGGGATGTGATAAGAAGACCCTAGAATCTACATTGAGAATCTGCATGCATGTTTACAGCTTCTTCCTTTTGTTTTCTTTCCAGTATTGACTAGCGAATTAGATTTTATTACTGAATATAAACACACGTTGGGTGCTGAAAGTTATTGCTGCTAGAGCAAAAGTGGGCAGATTGAAAAAAATCTGGGTGCTAAGACATTGCAGATAGGATTCCAATGACATTCTAGTTAGGAAAGCATGGAGGTGAGGAAGGAAACCCCCAGTTTTGCTGAAGGTGTTGATGGTCAGATGCATATATAAGACTGATGTTTTCTTATGCCTGTGATGTCAAGTCTGTTCATGGGAAATCTGCCCATGGAGCTGTTGCAATTGCATACCCTAGTTCTTCAATAAGAGTACAACAAGGTGGTTGACTGAGCATTTCTGTGTACTTTTTCCAGTATGATGAGCTTGTTCCAGCATCACTAACAACCAAGTATGGAGGCTTCTACATCAACTCTGGAACTCTGCAGTTCCGACAGGCTTCAGAGTCTGAGGATGACTTTATCAAGGAGAAAAAGAAGAAGTCTCCCAAGGTCTGTGATCAACATGCTGTGGGTACTTCTGTTTGAAGAATGGCCTTTAATGAGTTTTGATTGTGTTTCTGACTCAGAGAAAGCAGTAGGTCGCTTTTCTCATCTTGCCTTAATTGAAAAACTCAGAGGGCGTTGTCCTAAGTTAGCCTATGTTACAATAGTGCCAGCTGAACTTTGTGGCCCTCACTGTCCCATAAATAGGCTCTCTGCTGTTGGCTCTTAAGATTCCATAAAATCAGTTTCTAAGGGAGACTTGAACTTTTAGATTTGCCAAAGAAATTGAGAGATGATTATGTTTCAAATGTGTATCCCAGGCCACTTCTAGGGCATTTTCCCATGCTACTTCAACAGCTGCTGTGAGTCAGGCCCAGTCTGTTGTGGCTTTGCATCAGACAAGAAACGTGAGGGCTGCGGTGAAGTAGATTAAGATGTTGGATTAAGAGCTGGGAGACCCAGGCTCTTTCCATTCTCAGCCATGGCAGCTCATTAGGTGACTGGCTTAGTCCCTGTCTATCAAGCCAACCTGCCTCATGGGGTTGTTGTTCTGGGAAAAAATAGGATGGAGCACTACGTATGCCACCTTCAGTTCCTGAATAAAAGGTTTTTCTTTAAACCGATGATGATGAATGTGACAAGGTATAAACTTCTAAGAATGTCATCTGTGAAAAATGAAGCATATCTTTCAAGGCTCATTTGTGTAGAAGGAAGCCAGGGATGGTGAGTGAAATTCCCAAGGATGCACAAAGTTGATTGCACCCATAGTCCAGATTGTGAGAGGCCTGTTTAAGGTCGACCTGTAAAACTGGCAGGCACCGTGCTACAATCAGTGAAAAAGGTGAAAGTAAACAGAGGCAGAGTACAGCATAGAGGTCCAAAAGTTCATTCAGACTCTGAACAAACAAGGAGCCAACAGGTTGTAGCAATTTCTGCATACAGTTGCTCATAATCTAAACAGCACAGAGTGCTCTCTTGATTTAGGAGATTACAGTGGCCAAGATCACGTCAGCTCTTAGCTGGCTGATAGATTTTTTTTTCTTCTCCTTAAAGGACAAGGCGTATCCTGTTTCTGGCCAGTAATCCATTGGGCATGCACCTTCATCGGATTTGGGTGCTGGAAGAGATGGGATTCTTCCTTTTCTTGTCCTCTGCGTTTTCTACCATGTAGGGTATTGCTTGGAGGCAAGATCCTTGGGAAAGTGTTTTTCACAATCCTGTTGGGGATTGAGCTGATCCTTAAATTCAGATCCCCAGTGCTCCTTTGTGACCAAACTCCACATCAGCCTTTCCTCCCTTGGTGCTTCCTGCATATTTTGGACTCTCCCATCCACCGTGATCATTGATTGGCCAGATGGGTTGATAATGATGGAGCCGTGGTCCAAGTACAGGCAGAAGAAGTCTGATATAAACGAATGGCCTTGTGTGCTGTCTTTTTTTTCTTGTTCTGAGTTTCATAAGCCTCCAGGCACAAACCCATTTCTCTTTAAGGAAACAGTTTATGATGATAATTTTTTAATTCACAGAAACGGAAATTGAAAGAGGGAGGTGAGAAGGTGAAGAAGAAGAAGAAAGATGACAATTACGAGAAAGAGAAGAAATCTAAAAAATCTAAATTTCCTAAAACTGGGTAAGTATCTCTCTGATATTAATGTGGCTTTTGAACTTAAAATGATTGTCTCGACCATCTCACTGCAGAGGATTCAACTTCGTTGGAAGAACATTCAGATTTAAGAGAGATCCATTTTTCAAGCTGAATTGTGGGATCCAAGTTCCAAGCCTTTTTCTAATCATCCATTTGTGACAATGGAATCAATCCACTCTACAATAATCAGTTCTTTTCTTTCCATGAAAGTTGGGAGAGTGAGCAAAATAAAGGCAATGTATTATTTTACATAATTAAAATTGTATTAATTTTACATAATTGTGCATGAGGGGGCTTCAAAATGCATAGGCATGTCATGCATAGATAGCAGAGCTCTTTTCTCTCTAATCTCACTATTTCTGGCCATCTTGCTGGGCAATGATGGGAGTTGCAGTGGCAATGATGGGAGAGCATCAGGCTGCTATTAGTCTTCATATGATTGGTACCTTTGTCTGTGCTGTGTACTCCGTTCTCTGTGGTGTATTACCATGCCTCTCTTACAGTTTCACAGCCCTGAATGCCAGCAAAGAGAAGAAGAAGAAGAAATACTCAGGGGCCCTGAGTGTCAAGGAGATGCTGAAGAAATTTCAGAAGGAAAAGGATGCTAAGAAGCAGAGGGACGATGAACCCAAGCTTAACATTCCCTCTCTGGCTGAAACCCCAGCTCAGCGGGAAGCAGAGACTGTGTCCGATCCTCTCCTCTCTCTCTTTGGCCACACTAGTGACAATGAACTGCTTCAGGCAGCCACAGCCATGGACTCCCTGACTGACCTTGACCTGGAACAGCTTCTGAGCGAATCTCCAGAGGAAAGCCCTTTCCTTGAAATGGAAAATGGGAGTGATCCCCTAGGGGCAGGCCTGGAACCGGACCTCAAGCAGCCTCTCTCCCTTCCTGATGGACTTCCAGAACCACTGATGAAGCGCGTTGAGGAGCTCACTCAGGTATTGCATGTCCAGTTGCCCATATATCGAGGAATGGGTACCACAAGAATGTCAGGGATCCTCCTGAATAGGCAGTGGGCATATATTGATGGTATAGCTAACTCAGTTGTTCTGCAGAGATTGACAACAGCTCTCTAGTTTCAGATAGGAATATTTTCCATTGTTCCTTGGAGATGCCCAGGATAGAAACTGGGGCCCAATCATTGAGTTCCTGGCCTCTCCCAGCCAGTGGCAAATCAGACAGATGATGGCTCTCTTTTGAAGTGGTTCTTGTGCGGGGAGCCATTGTGTAGGGATTGTTTGTGGAAATAGGCCACCGTGATAAAATACGGCTACCCTTCACAGATTGTCTCAAATGATGTTGGGGCCATCTTGAACTCTTTGTTTGGATTTCCCTAAGATCCCAAGGAGCCTAGGAGATTGAAATGAAGGGTGTATTGAAAGTATGCTCCTTCCCTGCCTGATACTCTTTTGAGAGTCATATAATCCAGTGTGGGAGTGCTCCTGTGGTTTTTCAAATGAGGTGGTATTTAAACACGGGAGTGTAAGGAGTTAAAAGTTTAGCAGGTTTCAGCGCTGTTTATCTCAACATTCCCCAACCTGATATTTGCTGGTTGACCATTATAAGAGGGTTAGCCCAGAATGTATGGAAGCATCAGGTTGAATTTTGGTTTATCCATTTGCTTGCTGAGACTGAACAATGGATGTTGGTTTTAAGGGTGCTTGACAAATATAGCCCACAGGAATCACTTCAGGGTTAGTTATTAGCAATTGACTTTCCTGTAAGATTGCCAGTATTGTTCATAAGGTACCATCTGCTTATAAGGATTTTAATAAGCAAAGCAGATGTTGCTTTCCTGCTCTTGAATGTTTCTATGTTGCTTAACTAGGTTAGTAAATAAAGTAGTTGAAAATCTGTTAGGATAAGGCTACATCTCCTTTTGATCCCAGGTATATGAGTTCCACCTTCCCTGTAGCCCTATCCTAGACTTATTCTCTTGATCATGTCAGAGTGGGTAGAATGTTGTAACTTGGTTTGCATAAGGGACTGGGAAAATGGGTACTCTCACTATTGATGTGTGGCAGTTCCTGTAGTCCCAGCCCATGTGGCTAATGGTGAGAGATGCTGGAAGTTGTACTTTAACAGCATCTGAAGGGTTACAGCTTTCCCTATGAATAGTTCACCAATGTCTGCAGCTGCTTATACTCTGTTTCCTTAGTACAGAATTTACCTGTCTCACTGTTTCCCACTACAGAGGAATCAAAGCACCTTTTAAAAATTGCTGTTAAGGATTTACTTAAAAAGAAAGGACTCTTAATGTTGATAAAACATCAGTGTTCATACCTGAGGACAGAAGGTCATTAGAGTCTGTAAGAAATCCTGCAATAAATGAATAGCAGCTGGTAGCTCTAGAGTTAGCTGAGCTGGGAGCTCAGGGGGTCTCAGGTATATTTTCATACTGTGTAGTTTGACTTAATTATTGCAAGGCAATATAGACACTGTGTTATTAATAGCATTCCTGCTGGACGTGTGGCATCTAGGATGCCATTTTGAGTGAGAAGGAGCAGAATTGTTTGCAATGTGGTTCCAGAGAAGAAGATGAAAAGAAGAAATTATGTGTTACAAAGCCACAGTAGAATCATTGGCAGTACTTCATAAAGATATTTAAGTCAGAGGAATGTATTACTAGTAGATTTAACTGCCACTCATGTGGAGGGTCCTGAATATCTTGATCATGATAATAAATAGGAATTCTGTGAGTAAAATCCAGTATTCCTCATGATAAAGTGTATTGGAGAGGTGGTGACAGGGAAATCTTTTGCCTAGCTTGCTGATCTCGCTTGAATAATTCTAGTGGCCATTTTTGGAAAAAGGGCATTGGATTAGAATAGCTTTTTCCTGATCCAGTGCTTTCTGTATATACTGATTTAGGATTTACACCATCCTGGATTTGTGAGAGTTTTGGTCTGATCCAGCACAGGTTTGTTTTATTGGGGCTTTGGTCTTTCTGTCTTTTAATCCATGTTTTTTTTTTACCTTTGTCCTTTTTCTTTCTCTTTTTTTTTTTAATGTTCAGGCTCCTCCTCCTCCCCCTCTCCCCTGGTATCACTGTTGGCTTCTAACCATTCTGTGTTATCTGTTTCTGAATTAGGCTGCCAGAGCTGCAGAGAGAGAAGGCAAACACAAGTTCTTCAACCAGGACATGAATAGCATCTTACTGGAGTAAGCCCCCTTCCTGGTTGTAGAAGCCAGGCCTTGTAAGCACCAAGAAAAGCAAGAGAGAAGAGGCTTCCTAGGAATAGTGTCCTAGAGATGTTCTCCACAACATGCAGATTGGTACTGTCTGTGCTCACAACAAGCTGCAGTGTGGTGAATAAACATCACCCTGTCACAATTGATTTTTGGGACATTCCCTTTACCAGTGTCTGGGTGAAACAGGCTGGGAGGTCCAGGGAGGAGAGAAACAGAGACATCGTCTGATTCTAAGTATGTAGCGATCCCCCAAATGAAACAGGGCAGGAATACTGTGAATGCTTATAGCTGACCAGCGACTGGCTATCCTGACTGCCATTTCTCACGTTGGGTGCAAGGCGTGCCAGGTTGTCAGCAGGCAGCCAGGAGTATGCTTTCCAAACGTATGCTGATATTTTGGATCAGCAGTTAGTTTGAGAATGGTTCCTGCATTGCAAGCAAGTACATGGCATTACCTGAAAGGAAGGAAGGATCTTTGGGCCATTACTGACAAGGTGATCCTAGAAGCAGAACAATTTGGGGAAATTAACAGCCCCATTGGATGATGGGAAACAAGGGAGGGGACTTTTCCAGTGGCACTGTTATCTGGGTAATCTTTTAGTTGCACGGGAAATTATATTTTGAGCGTAACAGTGAAATGCTCTTCAATATTATTTGGGAGGGGTGTAAAAGCCTTGTTCCATTGGTTTCGGAGTTTAGCTGGCGCTGTTTTAATGAGACGGCATTTGTATGTATTAGGTGGCACTTAGGGAAGCATGACTGAACCAGAGCTGAATTGTCCTTCCTGTTCTGCCCTCAGTATAGAGCTGCAAACCCGGGAGCTGAACAGCCAAATGCGATCAGTGGTCTATGAATATCTGGCCTCCTTCTTGCCTTGCAACAAAGATACTCTGGTTAAGCGGGCCCGTCGACTTTACCTGTATGAACAGGTGAGTGATTAGGGGAGGCAGAGCCACTGGCAAATGAGCCATTGCACAGGGGATGAGCGGAAAACACTTGGCAATTGGTCACGTCAGACTTCTGGCAGGAGCAGTCTGGGCTGTCCCTTACAGTTTGCTGGATGAGGAAAGAGTGCTTGGAACAAGAGTGAAAATGTGGTCCCATTATGTAGATGTCGCCCCAAAGGGGCTCGAGACCAACCCAGCCTCCTTTTCCTTGACCTTGGGAGAGGTATTCCTGGCAGAGGAAAGGAAGCTGCGTTTATTTGCAGCACTTTTATGCCACTTTGTCACTAGGCTGAGGTAATTTGTCACTCAAAACGGAAAGAATCTTAAAAGCATGCAGGCCAGTGCCACCCACCACCTAAACGTGTTCCAGATTATAAGGGGTGGGAGGAGACTAAAGTGAACTCGGTAGCTGCAGGAAGAGTAACAGCCTTTTACTGCCCCTCTGGAAATGTCATGAAGAGAAAGCTGAGCCTTTAGGAAGAAGGTTCCATGACATTTGAGCAATATCTAAACACGGCCTCTTGATTCCTGAGAAAGATGCCTGGAGCTCATTTAACAAGGAGGCTTTTATGTGTCCGATAGCCCTTTTGAGTATACAACATTTGTGCTTTCCCCCATCTTTAAATAAAACCACTGCCTGACTGTGGGCGCAGCTGAACGGGGCAAATACAAGACAGATCCTTAACTCTTTGTGCTTTCTTAGGGGGGTCGGCTGAAGGAGCCACTTCAGAAGCTGAAGGAGGCCATTGGCAGAGCAATGCCTGAACAGATGGCCAAATACCAGGAAGAATGCCAAGCACACACCCAGGCCAAGTTTGCCAAGTATGTGTTTCATTTGTTTTTGTTATCTCTGCAGTCACCCTTCTCTGCAGTTTTCCATAGATACTCCAGGCTTGGTAAGCCGTCAAGTCTAGAAGCATAACTGCTGAGAACACTCTGCTCACTTGCCGCTCTTGGGGTGTATTCTGGTGGGCTGATCATAGGCAGGCAGAATATTTTGGAAGAGGGCCTAGTGGGTATGTCACCATTTTCCTTCTCTCAGGATGCTGGAAGAGGAAAAGGATAAGGAGCAAAGAGATCGGATTTGTTCAGAGGATGAGGAAGACGATGATAAAGGAGGGAAGAGGATCATGGGACCCCGGAAGAAGTTTCAGTGGAATGATGAAATCAGGTTGGCTGAAAAACAGGCTGGATTATAGAACCCTCTTCTGGGTTTGGGGGGAACACAGTCACCCTCCCCCAGGAATGTGTGTGCGCCTTTACTTTCCTGGAAATCACCGTTCTCACAGTTGGTAATCTGGTTTAAAGGTCTTGCAGGTCATTTGGTGCAGTGATCTTTAATAGGTCCAATTTCAAAGCAAGAGACTTACTAGGATATTTATTACTGAAGATGGTGTACAGTACAATTTTTAACTGGTTTCTGTTAAGCTTCAGAAAAACATGCCTGCTAATGTATATAATATTGTGTAAAGCGAACTTGTAGTATAGTTGGTGACTTGCATAGAAAAATACTGTATGTAGCATACAAGCAACTCCTGAAAGGCCACATTTTGGGAAAAGATTCAATAGGAAATGAAACAAGCGATGATGAAATGGTCAAGCAGAGCCTGGCTAACACACTGAGAAAAGGAAAGAGCGGATACACCTCATCAACAGTTATAGAAGTCTGGCCAAATACTCCAAGACTATTAGCCCGATCTCTATCAGGTATTACAAGACATTGAGCAATGAAGTCTGGGGAGCATATCCCATAGAGTTGATGTCACTGCTGCTTGGACTGAGGTGGAATTTGAGGTCTTAGATGAGTACATTGCAGATTCGAAAGCTGGACTGACAGGTTGAGATCTTGTTTAAAATACCCTTTCAAGCTCAGTTAAATGACACTGTACGTAGGGTTGGAAGGCAGGTTTGGAAAACCTAGTAAATGTTTTCCCTCTTTTAGGGATTTGCTCTGCCAAGGTGTGAAGATCAAACTGGATGGGTATGATCTGGAGAAGAACAAAGCTCAGTCAATGGAAGATTATGTAAAAACATTCCTAGATGCCGAAGTTAAACCTCTTTGGCCAAAGGGCTGGATGCAGGCCAGGTAAGAGCGATGAGAAGTCATGGGATCCTCCTTTTCCATCTGATCAGTCCAGAAGTACTTTAGATGTAGTGGAGGTTAGTCCAACAGGGAGTCGTGCTGAGATTAGCGGTTGGAGGAATGAAAAGCAAACAATTTTGTAAGCTTTCATAATGAATGTCAAATCTGGAATTTGGCTTGCAGTAAAGATTCTAGTGCTCTGTTTACACTAAAGATGCTATAGTTGGCTATTGAAGAAATGAAGCTTCTGCATAAACAAACGAGCAAATAAACGTGAATGAAAGGCCCATACAAATCTTGTTTGGTTTGAGAGGTATGGTAGAAATGAACTTCTGAAGAAGTGGTTCTTTGCACTGCTTGTGTAAATTGGGACTGAGTAGAAATAAGGGCCTGAAAGTGCCAGGAAGCCTTTGGCTTAATCAGGTAGTTTGACAGGGGTCCTAGCAGAAACTTGTACTGCTTCTGTTTCTTCATAAAGACAGTATAATGGGGCACAGTGTCTTCTTTGTCACTCAGAATGGGATGGGTGTTTTATTTAGCTAGATAAAACAAGGTTGGAGGGAGAAATCACTTTCAGGATGACCCAGTAACCTATAAGAGATGCTTTCTGTCTTTCTCATGGCTTGTTTTACAACTGCAAGCTTCAGACACTTGACCATGTTTAAAAGTAAATGTGATTCCCATATTTTGTCATAATGGTTCAGCTCCTATCCTTGAAAGCCTTATTCCTGTTATTTCCAATCCCCCCCCCATGCCTTTTTTGGCAACCAGTTCTAGCTCAGTTTGTCCTGCCTTCCCTTTTTTTTCAGGACATTGTTCAAAGAGAGCAGAAGAGTGCACAGTCATCTCACTTCAGTCCCGTGAGTTATTTCTTACCATTGCCAGTACAGAAAATGGGGTCCCCTCGCTGCTGACCAAGTTTAATTGCTGCTTAATGTAATTCAAAATGTAGCAGTGTGGCACGCACTTGCTTAAAATTCTGTGAGGGCTGTGTTTTTGTGCAGACTTTAAAAAAAATGGGTCAGAATTAAAACTGTATTACAGGTAAGATAATGTTACAAACATACTACAAGCATATCAGGAGGAGATGCTTGCACTACTAAGTAGCAGAAGGTACCTGTGTACCACATAATGGGGCCAAAAGTCCCTTGTTGACATCTTTCATGGTCATAGAGAGTCAGACTCAACCCTCTCCTGTTCTCTAAGAACTCGTAGGTACAGATTTTTCCCAGCTCTTCTACTCAAAATGCTTTTGATTAGAGGGGCAAATAACTTTAATTTGGGACCCTCAGCAGGGACGCATTCCATTTTATACGTGCATCATCCTTTAAAGAAGGTTACTTAGTGTTTGGATTTGCGTTCCAGTTTGAGCAGCTTATGGCCTCTCCTAAGCACAAGAAGGTCCTCTAGTTAGCAACCCTGGCAAGTTTTATCATCCTGCATTTCATTCTCCTGGAAATAAACTTCTCTCTGGCTATGTCTCCCTCAGAACAAAGAAAAAAGTGATGGCACCTCCAAAGGTGAAGGGAAAGGTGAGTGGTTTGATCAAGACTTTCAAATGGTACTCAGTCCTGAGAACATCACAGAGGGATGCAATGATGACAAAGCTGTGCCTGGGTTTGTATTAAAAGGGGCCTTCAGACTAGCTTCTATTATTTGTGTGTGTGTGACTTTCCTAGTTTTGCTTTCCAGAATTGTATGATGCCTGTGCCCCAAGTATTTTGCAGTCTAATAACCAACAAGACAGTAGTGGTGGGTGTGATAACAAAGGAGAACAAGGCTGAATAATATTAAATGTATTGTGCATTTCTATAATGTATTTCTGAGATCTATCAGAGCAGTGAACAGATCTCAAAAAAGAATAACATAAAACTGTTTGACAAGTGGATTAACCTTTGAAAGGACATTTCTCACAGAACTGTTGTGCTTTTTTAGGATCCTTTGGGTAAACTGGAGAAGAAGATTTCCCTTCCTGTCCCATTGATCCACTCAAGCGGTGCAGTTTCTCTTTCTCCAGAGTCACAGGGAGTTGTCGTTGGCCTCAGCCCTCAAACTAGGGAGCTTTTGGCTATGAGTTCAACTCCAGTCCCCAGCAGCATGGCTGCTCCTCCTTTCAGCATGGATGATTCTCTAGATGAGGACTTGATCCATCACACCACTTCATCTTTGGAAGCTGTCTCCAAGGAATTGGCTGTGCTAAACAGCCGAACAGGAGGAAGCCCTGACTTCACACTGTCTCCAGCTCTGAAGACACCTCTAGAGAAGCCCTCAACTCAGACAACATTGGAAGAGAAGAGAATCTTTCCCAAATCAAATCCCTCCCCTGCTCATTCAGCTGCTGGAGGCTCTCTGCAGTCTCCACTCAACTTCTTGGCTGAACAGGCTTTGGCACTAGGCCAGTCTCCTCAAGACAAAAAAGTTGAGGGCTCTAGTTACAAAGAACTCTCCTGCCAGACTCCCCCTTCCAAACACCTGGATGCCCACCAGGTCAAGCCGAAGCATCACAGCCTACCACGTGCACTGCAGGGTCCTCAGACCTCAACCCCAGTGCAGACTCCCCAGGTAAAAGTGTTTCCTCTGGTTACTCAACAGCAGAAAAGCTTCCCTCCTTCCCCTCCTTTTGTCAAGTTACAGAATCCCAAGATTGTCTCACCGCTGCCTCAGCGCCCTCTCCTCCAGCCACAAGTCAAGACCCCTGCCAAGGCACCCAGCTTCCACTCTTCTTCCTCTTCAACCATCTCTCCCAAGACCCCCAGTTCTTCTGTATCTCTAAGTTACACTGGGAAGCATCCAAGCAGCTCTAGCTCCTCAGGGCAATCTTTCAAGTCGCCCTTTGTGGCCCTGTCGAGGCACGTGGCTTCTACCGGAAGTGTATCATCCAGCATTTCCTCAAATCAGAGTCCCCCTTCAAGCAACATACTGCCAGGTGCCTCTGTTCCTTCTTCTGGGCAGGCTCCCAGTCGCTCATCACCCAGTTCCATGGTGAAGAAGACTCTAGTCCCTCAAAAACTGACTTTGGTAGCTCCGCCTGGGGGTCCAAATGTCAGCTCAAGTGGAGGAACACAAGGAGTGGCCAAGTTGCTAACATCTTCCCTGAAGCCTGCTGTAATTAGCAGCTCCACGTCCTCTACCTCTGGGCCGGTAAGTGGCTTCTAAGAATGGCCAGGAGTTGGATCAGGGACTTTCAGAGTACAAAGTATGTGCTCTGCCATCCAGATAAGGTGCAACTGTTTCAGTTTGCAGATATCATTGTGCACTTTTGGTCTACCTACCCCTTTCTTTTTTTTTTTCTTTCTTTTTTTTAAGCTAAATCTTGCAGGATAGAGTGGATGAGTTTTGGCCAAATCTCCTTGAACTCAGAAAGCTTATGAGACCTCCTGCCAGAATGCTGGCTTTGTGACCTTGCAAATTTCTGGCCAGTTGTTTTTTAAAACACCTCCCCCACCCCATTTTATTTAGTTTGGAGAGTCCACGGGCAGTATGTTGACCCTTGTATTAATGGATAATTCCCCCCTCTCTGTCCATCAGTGCTGTCTATAAATGGCAGATTCATATAATCATGGTGACATAGATTGCATGCATTAAAAATGGAAGAAAACCTTGCGTGTTGAGCTACTGTATCCCTTTCCTTCTTATTTTTGGTGGCTCTTTCACAAGGTCTCCTGCCTCTTTTATTACCAAGCTAAGTCAGTGTGAATGGATTGGATGCAGGAAATCAGCTTTGAGGAAATCCAGTGTCCTCTGTATGTTCTGAGAAGCAAATTTTTAGCCCTGATGGTTGCAGAGACACAAGATCCTTCATGAGAAACACAACTTCGTGGGAGTAGTAGTAGAACCCAGAACGTGAGGCCTTGCAAGCAATTTATTTTTGTGATTGCAAATCCAGATTAAAGCATGCAAAATAAGGTGTATGTGCACACAGGTATGTGAACAGTACTTAGCTGACACAATTTAAATAAGTTGCAAAGCTGAGGGTTTTTGTGTCCTAAAAAAACCCTGTTATCACAAGCCTTCTATACAGAGATTGTTTTGAATACTTCAAAAGGTATTATCCCTAGAGGAAATCTAAGGATTAGCAGCTCTAAGCAAAGTACTTCTGTTAGTATGAGAAACCTTTTTGCAAGTGCCAAAGTTTATTTTAACTAGTGATTGTCAATTGCTCTATAATTTTTGGAAGCAGGAGAAGGCAAAGACTTCTTCTTGGTAAGATAATAAGCCCACGGGGGCTGACATTGGAGGAAGTGGACCATTGCTCTTCTGCTCTGACTGGTGTTCTCCCCACCCACCCACCCACCCCCATCTATCCCCATCTCCCAGAAAGGAACCGGTGGAGCAGTACTGCTGACCAGTTCGTCTTCCTTGAATGTCCTGTCTCCTTCCTACAAGTCCAACAACCCAAAGCTGCCTACTGCACTAAGCTCTACTCCACTGGGGATTATATCACCGATCCATTCCTTCCCTCTTCACGTGATTTCCTACAGCTCTGAATCTTCCTCCAAGGCTGGGGTGTCAAAGGATGTGATAGTCACAGGACCAGCCCCAGGAACATTCCATCATGGTGTTGGCCATAGTAAGTGCTGATTGGGGGAGGGGGCTCATATGCTGGGGGCAGCCTGTAAGCACTGCTGCAGATAACTGTTTCCCCGTGTGGTGACGTGCACATCTGTTCTTGCCCAAAGGGATCTTAAAAACTCATCTTGGCAAACTTGTCCTAGAATGAGTTGTGAAGATCTCTTCCTGTCTCCCTCATATATGTCTGTCATTGCCACTGTTCTTGCTCGGCTTTTGCATTTCAAAAATTCTGGGCCTGGATCCCATCCTCTTTAAATGCTGTCCTTCGGTTGGGACGATCAGTTCTGGAATACTTCTCACATACACGATCTCCTTGGTGTCCTTTTCCCTTCCTTTCATCCATTTACACAGCATGGAAAGGGTCTGAGATCAAGGGAAGTCCTTGCGTGGCACATCCCCTAGCACAGGGTGCATTACAGCGAAGATCTACCCCCATTATTCACCATTGGGTTAGGCGACTATAAGGTGCTTTTCCCAGAGGTGCCTCAAAAACTGTTCAAAAATTTCAGATGGCTTGGAGTCACAATGCTTTCCAGCTGGTGCAAGTTAGCACCAGATCTATTTTGCCCGTGCTTAAAGAGCTCCACTGGACGCTTGGCTGTGTCTTATCCAAATCAGAAGAGCTCTCTTTGACCAGCAAACACCACCCCCGCCCCCATGTTTCTGGAAGGATAACCTCCCCCTATGAATGTAACCGTGTCCTTGAGATATTTGTTGGTGACCCACACCCCTAAAACAAGACGCAGACCACCAGGGATAAAAGGTTCCCCAAACTGGAGACATCATGCTGAAACTCTCCCTTCTTTTCTGTGCTGTTGGTGTTGGCTTGAGGGCTTTCTGTGTGCAGTAGAAACCACTGTTCTTTCTGTTCAGGGATTACCTGACCTTGAACATCATTCTGCTGTGTTACCTGGTTGCTGTTACTCTCTTCTGGCTATGCTTTTGCCATATTTTATTGCAATAGTTCTGTTTGCTGTACTTTATTGTTGCTGGGCGCTATAGCTGAAATGTGTAGCGGTGTAAGTATTTGAAGTAAAGATGTGAGATGGGAGCGGAGAATTAATGTTTTGGCTCTGGCAGGGAGACAGTTCAAGCTGCCCCTGCTAGCTCATTCCTTGAGAACCGCACTTTCAAGTGATGACGTGACCTGTGTGAAGGGAGCTGTTGCTGGGATTTTACCCCATCAAATGCCCTGCGCCCCTTCAGGTACGTCACCTTTCGGAGCTTCTGGTTTATGCGTGCAGCCACTGGCCAGCCTCTTTCATGGCGCGTCAGCCAAACGTTTTGCATCTTTACCAGTGAACTTGCTCAGAAGCCTGTCAGATATGAGATAAAGGAGTTTGCTGGAAAGTTTTTGGCAAAAGTTGGAGCGGGGAGGGTGGGGGTCATTTTTCACCTGAATCCATCTGTAGACCATCTTCTACTCATTTGTCTTCAATGTACATTTGTTTCTCCTCCCTCCTCCTCCTCCTCCTCCTCCTCCTCCGTTCCCCTCTCCTTTCTAGGTCTTCTGGCTGGATTGTCCTCCAGCCTCCATCAGGCAGCGCCTCTCCCACACTCTGCGCCGCCTGCCCATTTATCCCACAGTTTGCCAGGTAACTCCTCTGTTGCTCTTGTTTGTTTTGTATGCTTCTTAGTCATTCAGCGGGCACCTCCTGATAGCAGGACAGCTGCCAGCTTTGCCATGCACTTCACGATTTATGAAGCCTTCAAACCCAGGGTAGATTTGCCCTATAGCAGCCGGCCTGGATCCCATCGGTATCATCTATTTCTTTTGGAAGCTGAGCTTCTCCATGCAAATTCCACATTATCCCATCCCAATACTGGATCTCTTTCTCTCTCTGTGACACAAGAGGGTGGATTAATTAACATAATTAAAGTCCTGGCTTGATTACTGCCTCTGTGGCATATCCTCAGGGCTGGTTATCGTAAGTCAGCTATCCTGCTTTGGTTTTGAAAGAAACCAGAGTTGCTCCCAGCTGGACAGGTGGTTTCTTTCAAATACAAGGATTCCACAGTCAACACTTAAGAGTCAATTGCAGAAATTATCTGGGCATCCATGTGTTTTGGGATTTTAGAGAAGCCTTTAGAGAAGGGCTCATGCTGCCATGGCAACTTGATTGCTTTTATTGCTGTTAGTTTATGTCCTGTTTTAACTTTTATTGCTTTTTGCTTATTGTATGCTTGCTGTAACAGCTGTAATACTTTGCTGCAGTTGCAGATGGAGTTACGGGTGTTGATCTCTTTCTGTTATTAAACGTAACGTTGCGCTTTGTTTTTAGCTATTTGGGTTACTTTTGACTGTTTTAGAAGCATAAGAAACTAGTTTATATCAGGTCGGTCAGCTGGTTTTGTTTGGCTCAGTATTGTCTGCAGCAACTGCAAAATTGTCTTGCAAAATTTCAGGCAGGGATTGAATCTGGGAATGTCGGCATGCATAGCAACTGCTGTATGGCTGGACTGTAGTGGTTTCAGGTGTCTGACTTAGGAAGACAGAGTAGATATGTCATGAATAAAAACATAGTATGTAAAATACTGTTTAAAATGGGTCTAAAGAGGGCAATTCATGTTGCCTTTATTTGAACATACCCTAACCTCAAAAAAATCCTTTATGTTGATGAATTCAGTAGTGTCTTTAAAGACCTCTTCGTTCCCTGAGTCCTGGTCTTTATGGTTTTATTCAGCTGTCATTGAAATGGATGAGAAGCTCTGGGGGCTAAGGTAGGGGGGGAAAATAATATTTTCTGATATTTGAGGTGTGCAAGTCTCTGGGATGCTTGCTTTTTGTTTGCTAAAACAACTTTTGCAATGTAAAATTTTCCTTGCAAAACATGAAATGGCAATCAGGATTGGTTGTATTAGTTTTTTATTTGTGGGAAAGTCGTCTTTGATGATGATGATGATGATGATGATGATGATGATGATGATGATGATGATGATGAT